AAATTATACAACCTTTCAATGAGATACATCTATCAACAATACATAAGTTCTTCAAGTATGATCTCGTGTGGCAAATGTACAGTCAAATGCATCATCACATTAAAATATACTTAAGGAAAAAATTTTTCAACTTACACAAAATAAAGACAATATCTACTTATAAATCCTCCACATCTTTCTTCTTCAATGTCTTACAGCATAATTTTAAAACAAAATTGCCAAGATCATCCAATGCTTTAAAGACATATTTAAGTGCTAACTTTCTAGTAGCAACTTAAGTAATCTTTGTAAAAGAATATGACAATCCTAACTCTTCAATTTTGAAATCTTACCATCACTTATATTAGCACATCGTGAGATGTCTGATGTATATCAATCTAAAAACTTCATTGATTTTAGAAAGTCACAAAATGTCTTCTTTTCATTTTTTGATAAAGTGTAGCATGCATGAGGCATCAAGTAACAACCATTTGAAAAGTTTTTCAAGTGTAGTTCTTTCTTTATTTTCATATCCTCTAAATCTAACCTATCACTTATTATATCCTTTATCTTTCCTTTAATATTCAACAATGTTCCTAACCATAATCATAAATGTTTTCTCAATGTGCATAACATCAAGATATATCATAATTTTAGTGTTTGACCATAAGGTAACTCAAAAAAATGTTTTTTTTAGTCCGATTCAATTCTTCAAAGGTTCATTTTCTCTTCCTTTTGTTTAGATGCTTTCCAAATTTGATATCTTTCACAGCATCTAATTAATTTACTCTTGGATAACTTTTAGTCTTTGGCCTAATTTTTGTCTTATCATCAAATATTTTACTTTTTTGTCAAACATGGTTATAAGAAAAATAATGACGTTATACATATAATAAATTTTATTTCTCAAGTTTTGTAAAAAAGCATTAACATTACAAATAAGACATGCCAAAAATCTTTTTGCACTCCAACCTAACAAATCCCTATAAGTCGAAAAATCATTTATAGTCCATAAAACTGCAACATGCATTTGAAAATATTCTTTTCTGTAAGCATCATAGATCTTTATCTCATTTTTCCATATATTTTTCAACTCATTTATCAATGGTTTCAAGTATATATTAATAATAATTTTTTTATGAGTTTTGTCTAAGAATAAGTAATAACATCATCATGAAAGGCCCCTTCATACATTTTTAAGGTGAAAGATTATATGGCATAACCATAACAGACTACCTGCTATAAGTAAAGCTCATTAACCCAAAAGGGTTAAAGCCATCAGTTGCTAAGCCAAGCCTAACATTTTGTGCATCATGTGCAAACTAGTCATTCTCATTGTTAAATTCTTTCCAAACATCCCTAACTGCTAGGTGTCTTAGTCTATCATCATTAACACACTTCTTCTCATGCCATCGTATATCTTTTTTTGTTTTCTTAAACATAAACAATTTTTTGAATCTTGATTTTACGAGAAAATAATGCAAGATTTTTCAAGAAATTTACTTGTCAACAACCTTCCACTTTTACATCCCACATGTACGATAACTTTGTTTATCCTTAAAATCTACCCAAAATAAAGCAAAATCATATTTACATACATGAACTAGCACATAATTAAGTCATAGGTCTTTTGAAAGTTCTTGTTGCCTCATAAAACAATGAAAGAATTAAACTAATAGAAAAAGCCTTCCTCAACAGTCCTAGAATTGTATTTATTGCCTTGTTACTCATTTGACAGTAAACATTTATTTGCAACAATTTTAAAATAAATTATAACCAGACATGTTAGTGTATTTTGGTAAAAGTTCACATTATGCTTTATTCAAAAGTTTATAGAATTTTTCAGCTTCTTCCTCACCCAAATTAAATTCAAATTATGATCATCTTCATCCACTTTACGAAATACATCTTCGAACAGATTATACATACCATTATCTAAAGGTTCATTATTAATAGTTATTCTTTTGTAAGAACTAATACTCCCATTGGCTTGATTCTCAAAAGTTGGCATCATGAAATCAGATTGCTTATCATGATAAATTCACTTGGTGTAGCTCTCTAATATACCTTACAAAAGTAAATAATATTTTACCTTATCTTAATATCTAGTAAATACATTTAAGTAAATTCAACAAGGACAACGAGTTTTACATTGTTCTCTTATATTGATATGTACAAATTCCACGAACGTTGAAACTCTAAAAACATACTTGTTAGAATACTTAGACTCCATCATCCAACTTTTATCCATGTTAATTGTATGTTCGTAAAGAATTTAAACACCAAACAAAGTTTCTTTTCGAAATTAGGTAACACAAAAATCTAGTTACAAAGTATGTGAAACATTCATAATAATTCAATCTGAACCAAGCATGAGAAAATCTAATTAGTATAACCATATATATAATGTGCCTTAAACATTATATATTGAAATATTCTTATTTCCTAAACATGTATGCAAAAAGGATCAAGGTTCAAACAGTTATATATACTTTGATAAAACCTAAGGCTAGTGCACCACATAAGGATTTTGTTAGCATCTAATAAAAAATAATGCAACTAAAACTGTACTAAAATTTTTACTTATTTTTGTTTATAATTCTTTAAATGAAAAAGCCAAAGAAAGATTTTTTCTTCTTGGCTACTTCAAATCAAAAGTAGAATTAGGAACTATTTATATTATTTCATAACAAATAAGTCAATAAATAACACCATCTATTTTGACTGATTATACAAAATACTAATCCATGTCACAATGGTATCTAATGCACCATTCTCATTAACATTTCATATAATTATGTCAAGGTAACTCTATAGTCAAGTTTTAGCTTAACGTTTGCTCAATAGATATAACTATTTATTTTCTTTTGTATCAAATTGCTCTGTTAGGAATGAAAGGCCTTAGTATACCTAGAATCTGTTTTCAACAAATTTATGAATTTGGACTTTGCTTTTTAGTTCTAGCTATTTAATATATGGCTTTTAGTTTGACCAATAATGATTTGAGCAAAAATAATTACAAATGATTAACATTAATAGTAAAGAGTAACTACTTTCCACCAAAGAGTTGGGGGGAAATGTAGATGCATTTTTGAATGATAGTTAGAACCAAAAACTCTTATAACCATGTTCAGATGAAACAAGATCTTCTTTTTTGGTTACCTTTGCTAGTTTGGGCACATAAAGAATGTCAAATGACAAAAAAGATTAAAAGGTTATACCATTATAAAAACTTTATTGAATCGTTTCCTCCTTTTAACTATAAACATAGAAACAAATAAAGCAATAGAGATGATATATCACATAGGCCATTCTAATAAGCTAAATTGGCTAACTAAGCTTCAAGAATATTATTGGAAAATTTTGTTGAAACAATCACAAAGCAAACCCCTTTCATCATTGGATTTGCATCAAAATTAAAGCAATTAATAAACTAAACAATAATATCTAAGTTCCAACCTTTATCATGCATCCATAATCTCATTAACATTCTCATTAACGTTTTAGCTTAATATTTGGATCTAAAACTCACTATCCGAATTTGTCATCAACTGAATGAAGTGAGCTAAACTAGTGATATTAATCTTAAACCCAAAATCATTAAAATAAACACTAAAAAAACATAAAAATAAGTAAAAATAAAATACGTTTTTATCCATTATTATGACATCCTTTATTTTTATCTATATCTCTTTTAAATATAAAATATTAATCCATTTACATCTTTCATTTGATATACTCCTCTTTTTTATATTTTTAATTGAGAAAAGTAATTTCTTTTAGAGATTTAGATCACTGATGGCAAAAAAAAAAAGACGAGTTTTTTAAAACTGTTAAGAGTTTCGAACAAACCAAAGTAACTCCAAAAACCCTTTATCCCTCATTTCGTATTTCACATAAAAATCTAGATAAACAAATATATTATTTTCAAAATAAAGACGAGAACCAAAGATTAACATGAACAATGTAATAATTTATGGAAAGTGAATTTCAAACACAAACATTAGCTTGTAATCGATAAACGTCAGCTAAATCTGCTTCATACAACTTTTGGACAGTGATGAAAATTGTTAACATGGGTTTTCGCAAAAGAGAAGATAGTAAAGGAAAGAATAGGAGAGCGAAAGAAGATGAAACCGTTTTGGAGATGGGGAACCCATGAAATTATTAGTGTAGGTTTTAGAGGAAGTGAGAAAAAACCTAATAAAAAATCCTCCACCACATTAAACGGTGTAGTTTAGGGGAAAACATTAAAATTCTTTCTTGTATAAAAGTTATATTAAACAATATAATCAAGGTTCAAGTGTTAAAATTCTTTCTATTTAAATTTCATTTTTTAATTAAAAATTTTTCTTTTAACAAAATTTTTAAATTAAAATTTTTTAAATTTTAAAATTCCTTTTAAAATTCTAAACAAAATGTGTATTTTAAAATTTTTATTATATGTAATAGTTAATTTATTTTCCTTAATTAAATTTTTTTTATATGTATACATACTTAAATGTTTTGTGCTTAATAAAAAATAAAAATTATATTCTTAAATAGATATATCAATTTAAACTTATTAGTAACGGATAAATAACGTCATAAAATCATTTAAAAGTTTGTAGCATTTATGTTATTATTATATAACACCATACATTTATATGACAAAATTGTAACGTCAATAATAATTAATTAAAATGTTCAATTTATGACAAAAATTAATAATACCACATAAAATTTATTAGACAAAATATGTCACAAATAAAATTTTAAATTTGTAACAAAATTATAACATAACCTAAAATCTAAAATGTTACAACAAAATTTCCAACCATCTATATTTGGTGATAAAATTTGATGACAAGTTTTTGGTGACATTATCATGTGACGATTTTATATATTGTTGTATAAAATATAAAAACAATATATAATTTGTCACTTTAACATATTTTGTGTAACGAAATATTATGCATCACTTAAAAAAATCGTCACAAATTATTAAATTTTGTTGTGGTGATAAGATTTACCATTTTAAATAAGAGACGTAATTGTGAAAAAAATAACGCAGAAACAATCAATTTCCTTTTCTGTTTTCTTTCTTGCTACGGAAGAAGCAATGAATAGAATGGTGACAATCATTTAGTGATTGTAATTAATAAAACTAGAACATTGACCAACGTTTACACAGCTGCTTTACGCATCCAAAGGCTGTGATTACATGATCCGCACCAAATTTGGCTCTGGTTTTACCTAGATCATCTGGGTGACATTGTGGAATGGCTGTAGGTCGCCTGAGATGATGGATGAGTGGTGAAAGTACAGGAGCTGAATTGATTGAAATCTCTTTTCATTGCCTTGTATACCTGTTCCAAGCCTTCCTCAACCAATTCCAAAACTGTCTGAGGCATTGGTGGGGCGTTGATATCCATTGATCCTTCTAGCATTTTCACCACTTCTCCCATTGAAGGTCTCATGAAGACCTCATCTTGAATGCACCAAAAGGCAACTTTCAATGCCCTCGTCAGCTCTTCTTCATCTACTGCACCTCCTAGTCTCCTATCTGCAACTTTAATAGGTGTGCCATTTGCCATCTCCTGCAGAAACCATTGCTAAATATGATTAGTGAGGATAAGATGATCTGATAACTGATTAATTTCATAATTGAGTGAATATGGTATGGAGGATCACAAATTTATTGTTGGAGAGGCTCTTCTGTAAAATTTGCTAGTTCCTATTTCTTTTTATAGTTTTAATTTTTATTGTTGAGACGTATGTTCCTATTTCCTATTAATCTTGGAGCAGGTCAATAAGATAGCCTCTTGAAAAGGACTTTCTCATAGACCTGTTTTCCGTTCTTCCTGATATGCCATGTTACCCAAAAGTATTGGATTGAGCAGGAATTCTTTGGATACCTTAAACGCCCATCCAGGATAAAAGAAGTCCTCAGCATCAAAAGTCATGTCAAGGTTTCTTCGGCCGCCAAGAATCTCCAAAAGGAGCATTCCATAACTGTAGACATCAGCCTTTACAGTTATAGGACGATTGCTAACCCATTCTGGTGCCAAATACCCTCTAGTTCCTCTCACCATAGTGACAACATGTGAGTGCTCTCTTCCCATTAACTTGGCAAGTCCAAAATCTGATAGTTTGGGGCAGAAGTTCTCATCTAACAGTATATTTTCTGGCTTAATGTCACAGTGTATTATTCGATTTCTACATTGCTCATGAAAGTATGCAATTCCTTGTGCAGTTGCAACAGCAATATTGAAGCGAGTTGGCCAATCCAGTAATGTATCCCGGCACTGATAGGAAGGAAAGATCCACCTGTCTAGGGAGCCATTTTTCATAAACTCGTACACCAGAAGACTGCCAACAAAAACAGATAGACACAAAAGTGAATATTCTGCTCATTTACATCTCAATTATAAGATTTTGGGAATGTTCAACAAAAAAAAAAAAAAAAAAAGGCATCCCAGTAAATCCCTAGTCGTGGGTTGTATTGAAACAGTAATTCCTAAGCAGTAACAGTGCAACAGTGACGATTAACTACATTTGAAGGAGTTATTTGAGTAACAAATTGAATAGGAGACGAAAGTAATTCCTTACCGGTGTGAACCCTCAGAGCAGTACCCGCACAGGCGAACCAAGTTCATGTGATGCATGGAGCCAATTGTATTTACTTCAGTTATAAACTCCTTCTCGCCATGAGGCAAAACACGGTCAAGTTTCTTCACAGCAACCAATGTTCCATTAGAAAGGCTTCCCTTGTATACACTTCCAAATCCTCCTGCAAAAGATCATTACAGTTGTTGTATAACTAAAACAATCTAATGAATGCAACTCTTCTCTTCTATACTCTGTTTTACCTGTTCCAAGCAGCTGAGAAAAATTACTGGTGCGAAGTTGCAAATCGCGGTAGCTGAAATTCTGGGGAGCTCCCTCCAAAATCAAAGAACTTTCAATAGATTTCTTTAGATATCTTTGTCTATGAACATTGTAATACAGTAATAGACAAAGTAGCCCAATAAGGACACTCATGCTTAGTACAATAGGAAGTACCAAAATCTTCTCACGACCACTACCAGAACCTTCCGAAGAATCAGCAGACCCTCTTGGCGGACGACCACCTGGTTCCAATGACACATTCGACCTGACCTTCACAAACAGGGTGGAGCCAGGATCCTCAAATCCGCCGTAGTCCAGGCTCTTCAGAATCCAGCAATAAGGCTTCTCGTCATCTAACCCAGAAACAGATGCAACACAATCACAATCTGATAAACATGCATCCCCACAGTTTGAGATGGTGGCAATATCACTGTAATTTGCTATCACGGAAAAATAAGAGAAATAGTAATTGGTTTGTTGTACTGTAGCAATCTTAAAATCTGAAGTCTGATTTCTGTTCTTAGAATCACATTTTCCGGTCAAAGATGAATTCTGGGAGCAATAACTTTCACTGGTACCACCTACCTTAGATGTACCAGGTAAGCATGTACAAGAAACATTTGTCTTGCTTCCGTCCAAATTACATATCCCATTACCACATATTCCAGCAATATCACAAGGGTTTGACACTGCCGCCCATTCAGGCACCCATTGGCGCGATCCATTAACATCATTATCCCATCTATACAAACGTAAATTGCCATTAGTCTCAATTATCAATCTCCGGAGGACTGACAATCGTAAATTTGATTGATTTGTAGCTGAAGATAACCCGTTGTAATCTCCATCATTTCTATGCACATAAACTGCTCCATTTGATGACTCGCCATAGACTATTCCAAAGCTCCCTGCTTCATCTAATATTGCAACAACATCCCCAGTAACATTGGATATATCAGGTGCAGCCCAATAGGAGTAGTTAGTATAACCTTCAGGAGAAGCATCAAATGAGTCAGGCAAGTTGTACGTTAAGGCAAGGGTTAGTGAAGTAGGCTGTTGAAGCATTTTGAGAGCATAATAGCCCCCATGCGAAGGTGACTCTGATGATGTTAATTCTAGTGAAACTGTCAAGGCCTGGTTAGGGAGAAGTGTATCAGATGGGTGTGCAAAACTTTGCCATTCGGGGCGGTTGTTGGCTGTATAAAGGATGAAATTGCCTGATTCTGACATGACTGCAAATTTGACACCGGTTCCTGATGTGTTTGACGTCCAAACGGTGGCGTCCCCATCCATAAGTATGAGATTTCCAGTTGTGTCCAGCTCCGCGGTTGCATTTTCGGTGACGGGAGAGTTTCTATTCAGATGATCATTGAGAGAAAAAGTATCGGTTTAAAACCATTGTCATATTACCTGCGAGAGCTTTTGTAAAGACTACAGATCGAGAAATGGTTTGTGATTTTTTTTTCAAGTCAAAAACCAGTGACCATCCAGTAGCTTAAGCAAAAACTTCCAAGCATATTGCACAGTTCAAATTCAAAACGACTCTACTTAGTTGAAAGCAAAATAAACCAGAACAAAGCCATGGTAACATAAATTAAATGCACACAATTCTATATCCATGCAGTTTGTTTAATCAAAGTTTTATTAGATAAACTAAAGCAGAACTTACCTATTAGCTGACCAGACTACAGTTCTATCTCCAGGAAGCTCAGCAAACCAAATTCCAAGCAGAAAACGATCACGAGTGTCTGATCTAGTGAAACCGAAAGCAAAGGTTCCATTATCCGAAACCCAAGGCCGTCCTTGACCACTAGCCAACAGTCTTGAACCCAAACCAATTTGGCCAGAAATGCAGCCCGAGAACCTAACCATAACGAATAAAAACAAGGCCCAAGTGCAACGGAAACAAGAATTAGCCATGGAGAGTTCCAGTGGCAAGTGTAAATATCATTCAAGAAACAAGACCTTGCTCAAAAAGGAATGGCCATCTTTTATACGACTGCATGCATGCTACAATTAAAGAAGAAGAAAAGTGAGTTTTTGTTGTGGGGCAGAAAAATTTAAGTTCACAACATGTGTACAGATAAGGTGGGTGAGCTAAAACTTTGACAAATTTTGCATAAAAAAATGGTCGGCCGAGATAGAATTGGACATGTGGCACGTGTTGAAACATTTGTGGTCTTCAGATGAAGCTGTGACCAAGAGAAAGGCTTCGCCCATTGACACGTAACTCAAAGAGTTCTTACTTCTTCCTATTTTCGCAGCTTGACAAGCATGGAGCTGCATCATATGGATCTGTACATATCAGTACATTGCATTTTGTTTTCAGGGAGAAGAAGGAATGATTACGTCTTAAAATCGATTCTTTGACTTTTTGGTATTTGGATCGATGAGAATTAGGTCTTATAAAATCGATTCTTGAATTGGCTGAAAATTTGGTATGCTACTGATTCGCTTTGTGTTTCAAAGCTTTAATTGGCAGTCCCAATCAAAATTGAAATTGAAGGTTTTACAACACCCATTTGCTTTGGATGATCATATCAAAAGCTATACTAAGCAGCAAAAGTAACCATCTGTTGAAATAGAAGGTAAGTCATCTTGATTGTGTCTTGTGGGGGACCTTTAAATTATTATCTGAAATTAGTTTTGCCCAACATTTTGATGCTCCTCCACGAATTTCTTATGTATTTTTTATGTATTTCACGTCATTCGCTTTGAAAAATATCCCTCAATTATTACCTCTCTTTTTTCTTCTCAACTTCTTTATTTGATAAAAAAATAAATTATTCAGCACAACTAATATAAAAAATAATTAAATCTAACTCGTATTATCATAGAGGTAAGTCATATAATTCGTATTATGAAGTAATTGTCATATATTTTGATTTAAAGATATTTTATCTGTTGAAATCTTTTTCATCATTATCTTTTACCCGTTACTAATTTCGAATATACTTTCTATCATAAAAAATTATCAAAATGAATTTTTAAAAAAATCACTTATTACCTATTGTTTTCAAATATAATGCCACATAAAAATTTTTGAAAGAAAAAATACAATAACTCTTTTATCTAATTCAATTAAATTATAACAATTGTCGTCAATTCATTTTGTTAATTATAATTTATCAGATAATAATTAAACATCTGGTATTATGATTTTGGACATGATATATTAATTCAATTTGGATTCGAAGTATTTGTTTAAAATACATTATTATTATTTTTATTACATAAGTAAATATTTATTTCTATTTATTATATATTTATGTCAAAATCCATTAGTCTTGAATTGATCTTTATTTTGAAATGATAAAATATTAAACTAAATAAAGTTGATCAAAATTTTAAAAATGATTTATTTAGTATATGTTTTTAAGTTCTATATTTTAGTACTAAATAAATAATATAATTTTTAAAGTTTAAACAAACCTTTTTTATGTTTTATTATTTCTCAAATAAAAATATCTTTAAACATTATTTATTTGAGCTTAAATTAAAGTTCAATTGTTGTTTTTAAAGTGATCTTATTTATTTTGGACTCAATATAATTTTGATAATATTGGTTTCGAGAAATAGGTTAACTTAAGAAAATTATTTTACAAGAACAAAGTTTTCTAACATTCAATTTGTTTTATTTTTTTGTATTAATTCACAAAGCTTTAATATTTGAAATTTATATGGTTGAAAAGCTCTTTGAGTCTACTTTCTAATGGATCAAACAAAATCAAAATCAAAATTTTCTAAGAAAAGATTTTGAATTTTTACTAGACACTTTATAGTTATCTAAAAACTGCACAAAGAATAGATTTAAAAATTCACTATAATTCGTACACAATGAATTAGGTGATAAATTTTATATGGATAGAAAGCCCTTTAAGTCTAATTTCTAAATCTTCAATTTTTTTTATTTGGATTTATATAACTCAAGATATGATCAAATTAATGAGTAGAGTGCAAAACAAAAGACAACCACTCAACTTGGACAGGATCGATCCCCTCAAGAAGGGATCAATTGATTTTTTACTTAAAATGCATCTTTGTGCTCCAGGTTGAAGAAGGGATTGATCACCCTTATGGAGGGGATCAATCATCAACTTGATAAGATCAATCCCCTATATAAAAGGATTAATCGGGTCATGCATTTGTAAGGCGTGAAATGGCTTCCAAAACATGAACCAATCGATCTCCTTAAGGAAGAGATCAATCGAGTCATGTTTTTCAAGTGCAAAATGGCTAGCAAAACGTGGACCAATTGATTCCCTCAAGGAAAGATCAATCAGGTCTTCCTAGAATCACTCCAACAGCTAGTTTTTCATGTTTCAACATGCATTTCTTCTTTTATATCTATTGTTCTTGTCGAATGTGTGCATATATGATAAAAATGATTTTTCTTGACTTGACATAGTTGCAATATGACTTAAGTAAATGATTTTCTTATGATACTTATTTTAAGTTTAAGTCGTTGTTGATTATGGCCTATAATTTGTATAGACTTATTTATGTTTTGTACTAAAATTTTCTTGAATATATTTTTTATGATAAATATATCTTCCTTGAACTTTTAGTTTTCATATGGCCTAAAATTTATTTTGACATGTTCTTTGATATTTTCTGAATATATATAAATATTGAATATGTCTATTTTGTGTTCATGAATGATATAACATGTTTGATTTTTGCACATTACATGAGAACTTTTGCTTTGGTGTCATTCTTGTGCTATTTGATGTTTAAACGATATATGACTTCTAGCTTAAGTATATATCTCTCTTGTAATTGGCAACTTGTGCTTAATAAATATATTTTCTCTTGCCTATAATGACTTAGAATATGAAATTGTTTTCTAATAATTTTTTATCAATTGATTTTCTTGATGCTTTTAATGAAAATCTTTTATCAAGAAATTTTTTTAAGTCTATGCTAGGAAAACTTGAAATGAACATAAATGAACTAATATTTTTGGGATTTTAAGTGGAACAAGCAAAGCAAGTCATCTTCATCAATCAAGCTCAAGTACATCAAAGACTTAGCTCAAATGATGTGGATTAGAAGATTTAAAGCCTCACTCAATTACAATGAGCACAACAATATAGCTTGACAAGGAAGGAGATAATTGTATTGAATCTATGCTATGTGCCTATGATTTATAATGTTTAATGCATGATTTGATAAATGCTTGCTTTTATATGTGCAAAAATGAGATATTGTGTTTGAATTTATGAACACTTTGCACAAATTAATCACCAAGCTATTTGATAAAATTTGTCTTAACTTTGTTAAATACTTGGATTGATTAATATTCATACCTAGTTCTTGATTGTTGTGATTAAATATTTTAATGCATGAATATTTGATCAATGCATGAATTCTTGAACATGGTTATGAGTTAAATTGATTGATTTCTTTGAATATGTTCATTGATTAAGAATATTGAAATAGCATATACCACATTATGTCTCAATGCATGAATTCTTGAACATAGATATTAGTTAAATTGATTGATTTCTTCGAATATGTTCATTGATTAAGAATATTGAAATAGCATATACCACATTATATCTAAATGTTTGTATTTTTATTAGTATATTGCTATATGTAATTTCAAATATTTTTGTATATGTTTGTATGATTTTGATTGAAATTTATATTTAGATACTTGTATATGTTTAGATTAAGCTCTTTGCTATGCATTGAAATAATTTGAAATATATTTAAATAATTATATTTTTATTGTTTCTTTGCTATAGCTTATGTGTTTATTATGTTTGAAAAATGCTTAAATAATCTTTGTTATGACATGATGATAATTGAACCTTATTGCTCATTAGTATTCATGCTTTATTAAATTCATATGAGCTTTTGATTCTTATTTAGATAAGATAGTCATGAAAGATTACTATTATCATTTATGCATGTATTGAATAAATCTTTCGTATGTTTGAGGTATGTGTGCTCTATGAAAGTTGTTGAATAAAATTGCTAACAATTAGTAACAATTGGTATCAAAACTACTAAATTTTTTTTTTTTTTTACTTTCATAGACACCTATTTTTGTGTCTATTCTTAATATAGCTTGTACTTTTATACAAAATTGTGTGTGCCTTAAATTGATTAATCTTTATTTTAAAAAAGAGGAGAAATCTTAGAATATAATTTTGCTTGATTTGTTGTGTGATAACAATTGGTATGCTTTATGATAACATATCTTTAATAATTGGTATCCATAACAATTTGTATGAGCTTGTATGCATATGCTTGAATTTATACTTAATTACTGTTGATGTTTTAGGTGCTAAGCACATCTTATCCTAACATGATTTGTGAGTAGATTGCATATAATTCGTTATCCTTTACTCATAAATTTCATGTAGTAAATTTGATGACTTGTGCTAAAATGCTAAAATTGAATACACTTATGCTTTTGTGCTTGAATACATGTATGTGAACTTCATTATGCATATTATACCTGATTACATACATTTAAAATACTCTTGATATTATTTGTATCAAGCATTTTGTCTCATACCTTGAATTGATCTTTTTTTTTTGTAAATTACAAAAGAGGGAGAGTTTATAGATATTTCTTCTTGTATGCTTATAGCAATTGATATAGGAACTTAAACATTTAGTATAAAGAGTTTAAACAAAAAATGAGAGAAATGTTTCATAAATATATTTGCTAATACCTTCTTTTTGTGTTTATTTGCTCATGCCTTTTTACTATGATAAAAAGACAGAAAAATATTCGGTGAATAAATTTGCTTGTGCTTGATATATATATGTTTATGTGTGCTTAATTGCTATATATGCTCTAACATATATTAGTTGAGTTGTGTTGGATTATGATGCATAAATTGAGGAGGAGTTTTTCAAAATCTTAAAATGTTTCAAAGAAAGTTTTTCATCTAACAAATTTATCTTTAAGTTTTGTCATATAAAAAAGAGATAGATTATTAGCCTTAAATTGATCTTTATTTTGAAATGACAAAACATTAAGTTAAATAAGCTTGATCAAGATTTTGAAAATGATTTATTTAGTACATGTTCATAAGTTCTATAATTTGATACTAAATAAATAATATGATTTTCAAAGTTTAAACAAACATTTCTTTATGTTTTTTATTTTTTAAATCAAAATTATCTTTAAACATTATTTATTTGAGCTTAAATGAAAGTTTAATTGTTATTTTTAAAGTGAAATTATTTATTTTGGACTCAATGCAATTTTGATAATATTGGTTTTGAGAAAAAGATTAACTTAAAAAAATTGTTTTACAAGAGCAAAATTTTTCAACATTAAACTTATTTTATTTTTCTGTATTAATTCACAAAGCTTTAATATTTTAATTTTATATAGTTAGAAAGCCCTTTGAGTCTACTTTCTAGTGAATCAAACAAAATCTAAATCTAAATTTTCTAAAAAAATATTTTAAATTTTTACTAGACACTTTGTAGTTGTCTAAAAATTACACAATGGGTAGTTTTGAAAATTCATTATAATTTGTACACAATGAATTAGATGATGGATTTTATATGAATAGAAAACCCTTTAAGTCTAGTTTCTAAATCTTCAAATGATTTTTTATTTAGATTGTATAACTCAAGATATAATCAAATTAGTAAATAGAGTGTAAAATATAAGACAACCACCCAGCTTGGACAGGATTGATCCCTTTAAAAAGGGATCGATTGATTTTTTACCTAAAATGCATCTTTGTGCTCCAGGTTAAAGAGGAGATTAATCACCTTATGGAGGGGATTGATCACCCTATTGACAAGATCAATCCTTTTATTGATCCCCTACATAAAGGGATCGATCGAGTCATGCATTTGCAATGCGTGAAATAGCCTATAAAACAAGAACCAATCGATCCCCTTAGGGAAGGGATCGATCAGGTCATGTTTTTCAAGTGCAAAATGACCAGTAAAATGTGAACCAATCTATCCCCCTCAAGGAAGGGATTGATCGGGTCTTCCCAAAATCACTCAAACGGCTAGTTTGTCATGCTTCCAACGGGTATTTCTTCTTCCAAACCATACCCAACAGCTAGTTTTTTAATTTTTCTATATATTGGCTACTCCAACACATCAAGAAGAGTGATGAATCAAGAGAGTAAGATCCAATAAGTTATATTTCTATTCTCTCAAAGAATCAAGAGTTGTTAGAGTTTAAAATCCATATTTTTTATGTTTATTATATCCAAGTTATATTGTTGTTTATTCATCAAATTTTTTTGTACTTCATTAAGCAAACGTTTAGCCTTTGAGAGATATTATAAATTTATATTTTTATTAAGTGATTTTGTAATCAAGAAGTAATGTATCCTCTTAAATTAATGAGATTATGAGGTTGCTACTTAGCTTAGAAAGTAAAGAATGTAAGGTTTTTATCTTAAATCTTAGAGAGAAAAAGATATGATTGTATTTTCAATTCAATATCAATAGATTGAAAACCTTGCTGTAGACAATAAAAAAGAGAATACGTAAGTTCCTTGTAGAGAATGATTAAACCTCTATAAATTATTGTGTTTGATTTTTCTATCTCTATCTTTTTACATCTGTTATTGTTTATATTTTATTCTAATTTTATTAATTGTTATTGTTTGTATTATATTTTTATCAAAAGTGCTTATTGTTTTAATTTTTTATTTAATTATTTTAAAATCATTGTTTGAAAAAAACTTGAAAAAATTCAATTCACCTCTTCTTAGATTATTATATCATCTAAAAAGCTAACAAAATAATTTATAACCAATCTCATGCTAATATATATTTTGTAATTGAACAATAAATTTATGACCCAAGTATCCTATATATTATACCATCAATTAAATTTTAATTATTAGCTTTGGTTCTACTTCCACGTTTCAATTATTAATCAACTGCGTAGTGCTTTAAGTTTTTTCGTGGCTTTAGCTAAATAAAATAAACAAGATCATAGAATTTATTTATATTATGTCATACTTTTGAATTTACATTTAAGAATTTATTAATTGTTCTTGTGATATTCTTTCAAAATCTTATTATTATTGTTATTAACAATAATTCTAGAAGCTTTGTTCTCATAACAAATTTTTTATAATAAGTTCAAGGTCAATAATAATAATAATCAAATAAATATATATAATGTTAATAAAAATTTCAAGGTTAATAAAAATAAATAAAATAAGTTATTATTTAATTAACAAGAAAAGTATCAATTATGAAATTTTACTGCAATATGAATTTCAATGTTAATAACAAAATAAAAAAAATTAGTCAATACTTTATTTTAATTAAAAATTATTAATTTAATAAATTATAAAAAGTATATATCATTTATTATTAATATTTTTAAAATTTGTCTTTATATATAAAGTATAGATATAATCATTTAATATTTAAGGACAATAACTTGTCCCAAAACAATCTTCATGATTCTTTCTTATATGATTTCTTTAATTTAGCAATAACTCCAAAGTCCAAACTATACTACAGTATTTATCAAGGAGTCGGCTTTCTTTTTTGTGAAATTTCATCAAAGAAAAAAGAGTGGACTTTAATTAAGGCTGTGTTGGGAGGTCATTCTGATCGATAATAGAATTGGACATTGGACATCAGAACAAAGCGCACCGTTTAGTACGTTGAAGCGTCGTTGCTTTAATCTTCGTCGTTGCTTTAATCTTTGCCTTCTTCGAGGAACAACCCTGCAAGCGGCAGGTCAGTCTGTGTATCATGTTTCTCTAAACGGTGCCGTCATGCTCTCCTTGTTCGTTGAGACTCTCATGCAGAATCTAATCAATTTCGATCACGGGATTCCATCTGATCTGCCATAATGTCAACCGCTGACTCCCGCGTTCTCTCTCCGCCCCAATTCCCCAGTTTCCCTAAACCAGTGCTTATATGGCTTCGATGAACCCTCTGACTCTCCATGCTAAGTAAGCTCTCAGTCTCCTTCCATACATTTTTTTTTCCTCTTTGGGGTTTCCTGATAAAACTGGAGAATTGTGTCCGTGTTGATTTTGGACTTAAATTTCAAATTTCACAGTTTCTAATCAAAAGCTAAATTTCAAGGCAACATTTATGCTAAGTACTAATTGTTCCTAAAGGCTAATACATAGCTGACATGCTGGCACTGCATTGGGAAATTACCATTGAACATTTCCTGCACTCTATTTTTCATGAAGCTCTAGCCATTCTCTTTTGGTTTCACCTTTAATTATATCCATCTAGAAATTTTGAACCCGTTCAGCTACTCTAAGACTCTAACATCTCCTGAATTGAAAAGGTTTCTCTCTATTAGTCATAGAGAAATATTGATGCGCGGGTATTTTGGAATATGTGAAGAGACCGCAAAAGGGAAATCAATCTGGAAAATGAAGAAAAAAAACCAGTGTTGCAGTAAGATTTTCTGGTGTTGCAGGTTATGCTCCGCAGGATTGCTTATTCTGGTTGGTATGATCTTGGATGATTCACCATTCCTGGCTCATTCATTGGTGGGTTTAGAAAAGAGTTCTTGACACAGAGGACAAGACTTTTATAGCTTCACGACAGATTGCGGCTGAAGGTCTTTCTGGGATGGCAATTCTCCATCATTGTCTTGCTGGTTCTGGTTTAGTTTTAAAGGGAAGTGGCAATTTGATGTCAATGTGGCTGCCGCATGTTCCACTGGCTAACTGGCTCTAACAAGTCAACCTTAACTTTTTGCCCAGCCTTCCTATTTCTACTGTCACTGTCTCAAGTATTGAGCAAACCATTGTGGCAATATGCCTTGTGGAATGGCCTTTATATTGTGGTTGTTTAAATTTGTGCCTCAATCTTGAAGGAGATATTTTTTTGGAGGGTTCTTACTCCTTTGATAAGTGTGTGCCCTTGTGGTGTTCAATTTTGGTGAGCTTACTCGCTTTTGCCTTGGCCCATTGTAATATGCAGAGGATGCTACTACCTATCGGTTGTGTTTCTTGGGGTTGTGATTGGTGTTGTCTTTGTACAACCAAGGAATCTGTTGGTATCAATGCTTTTGTGTTCATACTTCATAGATATTATGAAATGCTATATAATATTTTGCTCTGTTCTTTATTGTTCTAAATTAGGTATTAGTTCCCATTGTATTTCCAACTATATTCAATAGTTGTGTTTTTCTTTAGTGTGTTAGCTCTATTTATAATGATAGATATTTTCTTGTGTGGTTTGGCTGTAGAAAACTGCAATAGTGTAGTATTACTATATACTTAATATCCTTGCTGATATGAGCATTTCTGGTTTTCTTTTGTCATCTTAAACATAATACCTCCTCAGAATATAGAGGATGTTCCATGTTAGGGTCTTGTTAAAGTTAATTTCCTGTTTTAGCCCTTTATTGATTTGATTGCACCATCTGTGTAAGCTGCTATGATCCTTTGAAGCAGTTGACAGATAATATGCAGAGAGTAAAGTCTACTGGGAACCATGTTAAAGCTCCTTTTTTGGAGGTCTGTTATAGAACAAATAGTTAGATTCACTTTGCTTTTCTGCATCTAAATTTTCTATGTCTTCATGCCTGCCTATTCAGTGTTAAAGGTGAATAATTCAGGAGGCAGGTCCAAGCACTTGGATCAATCTTTTAATAGTCGAAGTTTCCTGCACTTTGTTCGCCATGCATACAAAGTTGTTTTATGGTGTCTATTCACTACTTTTTTACACAGACTGCTCTGGTTATCAAGGTTTTCTTACCAATAACAGAGAGTACTATTATAGTTTTTCTTTTTTTTTTTTTTAATTTTTATATGTTAGGTTGTTAGACGTGTAAAATGAATTGAATAAATGATTTTTCCTGAAGGCTATAATGATATTTTGTGCTATCAAAAGCATTCCTTTTTCAGAACTTAACTGCTTTATGAATGCTTAGATTCTCTATCCATTGCTTGTTGTCTTGAAGGAGGATATAACGTAGGGACCAGTTGGTTTCAAGTCACTTTCTATTTTTTGGCATTTGGCCTAGAAACCTAGGTCAATGTCCATTTCATTCTCCGGCAATTCTAGGGACCCTTGTCTGCTATTTTTGTTTCTGTAGATTGTTGATAAATAATAATTGCTTCTATTTTTAATGAAAAGGACATCACCTTCTCTAGCTTTCAAGTTTTGAGGAGATTCAAACTCACCACCACTAGACTATTAGTGGATTCAAAAGCCTGAAATTTCCTTACCGATAGAACTTTAGTGATATTTGCTTTTGCCCTTCTCCTTGAGATTTCAAATATATCTCCTTAACTTATTCAATGACCCAATTGCAGTAACATGTGGCAATGGGCATCATTTTATTTTACCTATTTTCATACCCAGCAATATCATTTATGTTCATTGTCTTCTTGTATAATTAATTGTTATATTGTCTCAGTCAAAATTTTGTAAACCTGGCTGAGCATTGTTTTGGTGTTTTGACTTACTTTTCTTAATCCACAATCTCTTGCATCTTTTTCAATGCCCCTTGTAGTGTAAGTTTTTTCAATGCTGTGAATATAAAATTGTCTGCAGATAATGTACATTTGATAGGGGTTTAACAAATTAGCTGAAGTTTAAGGTTTGCCATGGTTATGCAATTATAATGTGAGTAGGCGGGCCTGCACATTATAGTTTCATGATGAACTTCACTATAATCTTTAAAGTTCTGTCTTTGCTTCTTTTTAATGCTAATTTGATGTAACCCTTTTGAGACATGTTGGAATATGGTGTATGGAGATAAACTGTTCCCAACATGTTAAATTAAGAAAAATGCACAGCAGCTTCCTACATACATATTGTCACTATTCATAGTTTCTTTATTTAATGTACCACTGGCATTTATTATGGCATAAAAAAGTTCCTTTAAGTTGAGCCTTGAGTCATAGCAGTTAGGATGTAAGCATCAGAATGGTGAAGTTATCCTTTCAAACTGGCGCTACCTATCCTTACAATTAAAGTGTTAAGAAGTTAAATATTATGATCAGATGATGAAACAAAAGCAAGCTAAGTGAAATCAACAATTTTGACTAGGACATGAGAATAAGTTGTTAGGTTTGTTTAAGGAGGAACTTTATAAACTATGAAGACATTAGTTACTCTTTTATTGTAGTTTAACTACCACCTTGAATAAATTATGCTTGTGCATGAACCTGCTCCTCATAAACCCCGATTGCTTTTTCATTGTTGTTGTTTCACCTTTTATAGCATATAAATTTACTAGAAATGATAGAAAGTGTAGTTTATTATGTGCTTGCTTTAGTTTCTGAAATGCTGCTTGAGATAAAGATGAAGTATGTACATGAACCTAATATCTTTAAATTTCTAATATCTTCTGAATATGGATTAAACAAATTTGCAGTTAAAGGTCATCTATTTTTTCTAAGTTAAAGGAAGAGTGGGGTAAAGGGTTGATGCAACCATACACAATGAGTGCTAGTGGGGGGGCTCACAATTCTGTTTCTTTTCCCCTTTTCCCTTTTCAATTATTAAAATTCATTGTCTCTTGCCAAGCTGCCATATATATGTAACTGCTAGGGGGAGGATATTAAGGTATATAAATATATTTGAGATTTGTTACATGAAAAGCGGGCCTTTGCTATTGCCTGCATTGTAGTCCCTTTCCCTTAACAGTACAAATTCAATCTTCTTTGTTTTCCAGCATCCCTTGATAGAGTGGAAGCCATGGAAACTTCCCAGCCCCTCTCCATTGAAAGCTTTTCATACAGTTGGTTAATAAACCTAAAACCTTCTTTAGATAGTCTAGACAGCTCCCTCAGAGCCTCACTTGATGCAAGTGATGAAGCTTCCTTCATTGAGATGGACCCAAGAATGCCACCCTCTAGGAGATTCTTCAGAAATTCTCAAGATTTTAAGTTTGACTTTCCTATTTCACAAACTCCTCTCACCCTCGTTCATGCAGATGAGCTCTTTTCCGATGGGTATGTCATGCCTTTCTTTGTTAACCCATTGAAGATGGAGGTATTGGAAGTTTCTGGTTCAACTTCAACCCTTCCTGCCTCTTCACATGCACCAAACCTTGTGGTTCCAGCTAGTAAAACAAATCGTCCTTTGAGAAGGGGTCGAAGATTGTCCAAGCGGATATTTTTGAAATACTTGGATTTTCTTAGGCCATTATACAGAAGAATACGAGGACGCAAGTCAAGTAGTAGAGCTGAAAGTGTTGATGCAAGGGTTCAGGTAAGGAAGAACTGGGTATATTCAGCAGAAACATCTCCTCGAATTAGTGTTGCATACTCTGCTGATGAGTGGAGAAAGTCGTGTGATTCTGAAAGCTCAATCTATGAGGCAGTTCTGCATTGCAAAAAATCAATCGGTAGGCCAATATTTGTTTGCTTATTATTGTTGCATTTGAGAATTTGGAATCAAATTCTGGTGCTGATATTGTTTCCTTTTTCGTTTTCAGGAAAATGAATGGAGGAGGATCCATTTCAAATCCACAAGGGAGAGAGGAAAATAGGAGTTATCGAGAACACTTGTTTTTTGTCCGCTTTCTTCTCCTCTTTTGCGATGACAATGTACATTTGTCCTGTTAAGGAAGTTAAAGCTATGTAAATGGTTGGCCATGAAATTCTGGCCCGGGGGGGGAGGGAAGAACTATGCCTATTTTGAAAATTTGTTTTTGTCTTTTTCTTCAAAAGAGTAGGGCTAACAACTTAAAGGAATCCTCTCCTTTATTTCTGTAAAGTTTTAATTTAATGAAATAAGGATTATCTAATTGAGGGTACATATCCGTTTAGTTGAAAACATTAATGAATTCTTGTATGAATAAAGATACAAGCATTTTTATTCAATGGCAATCAGTTTTTTTTTTTTTTTTTTTTTTTAATTTCTTATGATGAGGAATTGTGTAAAAAAAAGTTCTCAATCTCTATTGTCATCATTATTTGGCAAGCATTTTTATTCTCCCTCCTTTTATTAAACCTCACCGTCTCTCTCCACATGCCAAAAAGCCAAAAGCTAGCATATCTTTTTCACAGGCAAGCTAAAATTCTCTTTCACATGCCTTCTAAGTTCAATATGGATCACAATCGAGTAGAAGAGAATTTTTTTTATACGAAAAAGAAAAAAAAAAAACTCTTATCAATTAGATTGGAACTCGGAGATTATATGATAAGATGTCATAAATTGTCACAGCTGGTTATTTCCATGTTCATAATTGTTGATTTATATAGTTTGTTTAATCCCACCAACATGAGAGGAACAAAATTTGCCTTGAATATTTATCAGTGCACAACCTGCAGCGATTCCCACCTACTTACTTTGAAAGAAATATCGCATATATGTGATTAAAATCACTCTTCCTTTATCCAAAACTTTAGCCTAATCTTAGTCTTCCTTGTCACTTTGATTAAAACGGCACCAGACCTTTTACTTTATCCCTTTTATATTCCGTTGATCCTCCATTTAGCTTTGCTTTTCTCTTATGAATTTCAGTTTTCTCCCAGTTTTCTGAGGTAGAAATTAAAAGAAAAAACAAAAAAGAAAAGAAACGTGTTAATGAAGTAAATAACTAAGCAAGTTAGAACAAACTTCATAATTCTGAGGTAAGCTTTTGATTCCCTGAAGTTATTCTAGAAACACATTGCATGGATTTTGGACTTGTCCAGAGTAATTAGCTGTATTGTAGACCCTCCAGGACAATCAGTTACATAAAGCTTCATCTTGATTTCAGAACACAATCATGTCCACGGCTCTTTCTGTGCCCATATATTTGCAGCAGTATTCTAGCATACAACTTTAATGAATTATATGATTATTAGGTGGCACAGCTTCATTTTATAAACCAAATTATTTATCTAAATGCTTGGATTGGTAATTAAATTTATATTGGAATCATCATGAAGAGGAGAATAATTATACATTTAACACACCCTAAAAGGAAGGCAAAAACTGCTGCCACATCATTCTGCATACAATCTCTCCTACAAGTTTACAGCATTCTTTAGTTACAAGATTTTAGGGTCATCCTACTGGGATTATAAAATGAAAAAATTTGGGGTTTCTTCAAATGATATGATAATGTGTTACTTGCTGATTGTAATGAGAAGTTCTAACCGGGAGAAATTGACAAAGTAGGTTTTGAATTAAAGCATATTCCTGGGGTCATTTATTCAGTATATTTAGAAAAAGGAATCAAGGAACTTCTGGTTCCCAAGGCCATGGGGTCCAAGATGAGATGGATCTTGCCCTTACAAACACGCCTATTCCTCTCTAGTTGTCCAGCCATTCGCCTGTAACATAACGCAAAGTTTAGGTGGCATGTTTTCAGCCAATGAAGTGGCAGAGAAAAAGGCCTGAAATGAGAAAGTTCTGCACATGCCAACCAGCAGGATAGGGAGACATGGACAAATTGTGTTAGGAGAAATGCCAAGGTGTGATAACATTGGTTTCTGTTTCTATCTACTTCTTTTTGCCTTCAAATTTTGAATATTTTGCTTCTCAACAGAAAAAGCACAATCAAGAGTAGCTTTATGACCTTTCTCTCCTTGCTAGTTGCTACATCAGCCTAGGTGGGGACCAAAACCTCATACATGCTACTTGTCGCTGCTATTAATTTTCAGTCACTGTAGCTGCTAACAGGACATTAGCCTTGTCATAGCAGTGTTTGTCTCCAAATATGACATAGATGATGGATGTACAAGATGAGAATATAGGCTTTTGCAATAATGTTCCCTACATAAATTGAAGGACTCGGATTATTTCCGATTAAAGTGTTCTGAGATCACATGACAAAAATTTAACTCTGATGGAAGTGTTCCATTTCTAAATCTGCAAGGCAATGTCCCTATGTCATTACATGTGAGGGCTATACTTGTAGCTGCAACTCAAGTACCAATGAAATGATGGAGAAAAATCAACAAAATAAACGTTACATATTGTATTAAATTTTGTGCAACAATGACATTAACAATTTCTGCTGCCATCAGTCCTCGTTTCATGAAAATTATTGGCCTAGGAAATTGCATCTACAAGCACTAGAATCAAGTGTCTGGCCCCGTGACTAATGTAAAGTGGTAACTTCATTGCCGAGATGCAGAAATCTTCTCAGGAATTACTTGTACGAGAAGGAGAATACAAACGAACACGCAGAGGACCAATGCCCTATTACATGCTATGTGTCGCGGATTGTTCAGCCTCGGGTCATTGTAAGAACCTCCTAAACAATAAAATGATGAATAATGCACGTAGAACGTTTCCCACTTCAGACGTTGTATCGCATTGAATATTCATTGTATTAGGGCAGGGTCTATATCAACTAGCTGTTTCGCCTTTTTTAACGACATAAAAGTCTAGACAGTAAGACATAGACTTATGGGAGCCTTGCAATAGTAGATAACTAGATATTAACAGGAGATTGGTATCAAGTGTGAACAGAAGAACTTTCATTCTACTTTTAGATTCCGCTTGAGGGTTACCAGCAGCTTTCTAGCAAGTGTACAGACCACGAAGTTCCGTAATTCAAGTTGATAAGAGGAACCATGACATTTTCGTTTCGATCATGAACTTTTCTTCCATCCATCATTGTCGCCATGAAAATCACATGCCGTACGTTGAGCTAATGCAAGCCAAGCGCTACAAAGGACTAAGCAGGGTGTGTCATGTTAAAGTAAAAGTTTATGATCTGATTACATTAATTGAAATTAAAAGTCATAAACTTTAAATTTTTAACATATTAGGCACCGACAAAAAAATGATCAAAATGATGCATAGAGTGATATAATTGGGAGATTTGGAGCTAAAAAATAGGTTTGGTTTTAAAGGGAAATGCATCTCATTTTTCATTCTTTATTTTTGAAGTGATTATTAGTAAATGAAAATTTTTGTGAGGTATTTGTTCTCCTAGTTTTAGAAAGAGATTAATCATACTCTCCTTAGAGTATAAAGCGGTTATATTCTCACATTATTTTTCCTAGTGAAATTCCTTTTATGTTTGTCATGTGGATGTAACCAAATTGACAAACCACGTAAATTTTCATGTCTTTTTTTCGTTATTATTCTCTCAACTCTTAGTTTAAAGACGCTCAAATCCCATCAAGTGGTATCATAGTAGCAAGGTTGGAATTTTTCGTATATGGAACTGTTCAAGCATATGGTAGTGTTCATAAAACATACTGTTCACATATACGATATTATTCATGTATATCGAAAGTTAGTGCCATGGATGAATATGTTCTACAAAGTTCTATCTAAAGAGGTTGTATTTTGAGTGGGATCGCTTGTGACCTCTCTAATTTTTCTTTGAAGCTTACTTAATGAAAGTGTTGTCCATACAGTACTACTTTTTATATACGCTACAGTTCGTTAGTGAGACAATAGTGAGTGAGGAAACTGTAAGTGAACTAATGGCGGTAAAATACGAGATGGAGAGGTTTAATGGAAATAATTTCTGATTGTGAAAATGAGGATGAAGGCAATCTTAAGGAAAAGAAATTTTTTGGCAGCAATTGAAGGTAGGCCTTTGGAGATCACTGATAATGACAAAGGGAATGAGATGGATGGAAATGTTCTTGCTACTATTCATCTGACATTAGGCAATGTAGTGTTATCCAGTGTAGAAGAAAAGAAGATAGCAAAGGAGATATGGGATACTTTGACAAAATTGTATAAAGTCAAGTCCCTACACAAAAAATCTTCTCAAAACAGACTTTATAGTGTTCGAATGTCTAAATCCACATCGGTAACTGATCACACCAGCACATTAAATAGTCTATTTTTATAGCTCACTACGTTAAGTCAGAAATAGGCAAAAAATAACATGCAGGGCTGTTACTTCAAAGTCTACTAGATTCCTGTGATCAACCTGTTATCAATTTGACAAACAATGTACTTTTAGACTATCTAGTCTTCAAAGATGTTGCAACCGTTGTTCTGGAAAAGGAAAATAGGTGCAAGAACAAAGAAGACAACAAATAGTTTGCATCAAGCAAGGTGTTGTTAGTGTCAAAGGGAACATCAATGGAGCGTGGCCTAATGGGAGTCAAAGACAAGGTAGATCACAATCTAGAAGTAAAAAGAACATGAAATGTCACAACTATGGCAAGAAAGGGCATTTAAAAAGGACTATTGGTACAAAAAGGGGATAGAGAATGCCCCTGGGTCATTAAAACCTCAAAGATGTGTAGCAAGCACTTCAAATGAAGGAAGAATCCTCTATAGTGAAGCAGCATAAATTTTTAAGGACAGAAATCAGCTCACGGATGTTTGGTGAATGGATTTGGGAGCATCATGGCATATGACTTCTCATGGAGATTGCTTTTATAAACCTATCTCTGGTGGATCGATGTTCATGGGAAAGGATCATGCCTTAGAGATCGCAGGTGTTGGCACCATCAAATTAAAGATGTACGATGGGTCAATTCGTACTATTCAAGAAGTACGATATGTGAAGGGCTTAAAAAAAATCTATTATTTTTGGGACAATTAGACAGTCTTGGCTGTAAGACTCGTGTTGAAAACGGGATTAACAAGATTGTCAAAGGATCGCTTGTGGTTTTAAAAGTAAAGAAGACAATTGCAAACTTGTTTATTTTAACAGGAGAAACAAACTAGAAAACAAAGGCATCTATTGCATTAGCCAATTTTGCAGAAAAGATGACAATGCAGTGGCATTAAAAACTAGGCCACATGTCAAAGAAATGCTTGAAAATTCTCTCTGATCAAGAGTTACTTCTTGGGCCTACAAAGGTTTTTTTACCTTTATGTGAGCATTGTATTACATGTAAATAGCATTGATTGAAGTTCAAAACATCAACAACTAATAGCAAAAGTATCATGGACTTGA